GGGGGAGCGCAGCAGCGGGGGAGGGGGAGCGCAACAGTGCGAGGTGGAGCACAGCAGCGAGAGACCCAGCGGCGGGACAGGGGCCGCAGCAGCGGGAGGGCAGCAGCGTGACGGGAGCGCAGTAGCAGCAGTAGCGAAGAGGGGGGACCCAGTAGCGGGAGGAGGGACGCAGTAGCAATGGGGGCGCGCAATAGCAGGAGGGGGGGCCGCAGAAGCGGGAGGGGGAGCACAATAGTGGGAGGCGGAGCGCAGCAGCGGAAGGGGGGGCGCAGCATCGGGAGGGAGCAGAGCAACGGTAGGGAGAGCCAAGCAACGGTAGGGAGCGCGAGGCAACGGTAGGGAGAGCGGAGCAACGGTAGGGAGATCGCGGCAGCGGAAGGGGGAGCACAGCAACGGAAGGACCGCGGAGCAACGATAGGGAGAGCGGAACAACGGTAGGGAGAGCGGAGCAACGGTAGGGAGAACACGGCAGCGGAAGCGGGAGCACAGCAACGGAAGGAGGAGCGCAGCAGCGGGAGCGGGAGCGCAGTAGCGGGAGAGGGAGCACAGCAGCGGGGGGGGAGAGCGCAGCAGCGGGAGGGGGAGCGCAGCAGCAGGAGGGGGAGCGCAAAAGCGGGACCGGGACCGGGACCGGGAGCGCAGCACCGAGAGGGAAAGGAGCGCAGCAGCGTCAGACTAACGTCATAACAGAGAGCGGTGGTTACAGACGATAGGGAGGAGGTACACAGTTTCGGCAACACAGACGAAAAAGGGAACGATGGAGGAATGCAGACAATAATGACAACAAGCAATCTACCCGAGAACGCGAGGAGGATGAAGACGGCAAGGAGAGGCCCAGGAGATCACCATGTTACAGCGTCAGGTGAACACTTGCAGAGAAATTCGAGACAGATAGCGTAATACAGATACGTATGCATTCCTAGCGTGAATTCGAGACAGATAGCGTAATACAGATGCGTATGCATTCCTAGCGTGAATAAATCTTATGGAGAGAGAGTAGAGAATGCTTATGGCCTGAAGTTATAACATTTGTGAAGATAAACGACCCCTGTAGCATACAATACAATACATATTAGCTACAAGTATGGACTGTGGAGCGTGCGGAGAAAAGAACACGTGGGGGAAAGGAGGGAGTGAGAGCGGCAGAGAGAGACAGAGCGAGAAAGACAGAGAGAAAGACAGGGAAAGAGAGAGAGAGAGAGAGAGAGAGAGAGAGAGAGAGAGAGAGAGAGGCACAGAGAGCCAGACACACACGCACACACACACACACGATCAAACACCGAGAGAGAGAGAGAGAGAGAGAGAGGAACAGAGAGACACAGAGACAAAGAGAGAGCGAGAGAGACACAGAGAGACAAAGAGACACAGAGGCACAGAGCTACAGAGAGCAGCAGAGAGACGGAGAGAGACGGAGAGAGACAGGGAGAGACAGGGAGACACAGGGGGAGAGTGCGGGGGGAGAGAGTGCGCGTAGAGAAGTAGAGGAAAAACAGCAGCCTACTCAGATTGAAAAGATAACCACGAGAGGTGCTTTCGCAGGTTTTCCATCTCTGTATGCGCCGATCGTGCGTGCAGCTTTGTGGAGCTGGCCGTGAAAATAATTCCCTACGTTCAATACACATGCGCGGTGAGATCAAAATCGCAAAGCACGCGAGGTGCTAGGGCGACTCTTCCACAGGCATCTACGACAACGGCAAGAACCAGAACGAAACGAATTAAACACTTCGGTTACTACCTATATGATGGTCTGTACGCCATCTTCCCTCCTCCCCCACTCCTCTGGTCAATGGCTCCCCTGCCAGGCTGCCACGCAACCTCCCAGCTTTTTCCAGCACTCGTTCGTTCGCAGTCCCTTCACTCCTCCGCGATGGGCTTCGGGAAACCCCGCCTTCATCACGCTCTTTCTTCCATATGCATCTGGTACTCGTCGGAAGCAGAACCGAACCAGACGGTTGAGTTTCACTGGCTGGGGCTTCGCACAGTTGTCCTTCGATTTTCCAATCCCGATGTTCCGACCGAGCGCCTGGGCGCACGCGCACACCAATCCCCCACCGCGCGCAAGACCACGTGGAGCCCCGTGCCGCACAAATGCGTGGCGGGATGCCACGGCGCCGCGCTAGCGCCGCGCAGGGCCGCTGCCAGCGTTACCCTTTTTAGGGTCCTCGTCTTCCCGGCCTTTCAGCCTCGGCCCAACCTCAGACTACAGCCGTTGGTGCGCCCTGGCCTTCCGCATGCCTGTCCAAGACTCCAAGGTTTTCGCAAGGACCAGCTTCAGCCCTACGAGTGCTGGATGCTGAAATTCGCAGCCCTAAGGCTGCGGTATAGTAGGCTTCAGCCTCTGGGTCAAGGTGACACGACTGGGTTCTAATGGGGTGAGAGTTGTTGGGGGACCGGTCCACCGCATTGTTACGGACTACCTGCAGCTATCGAGGTAGAACTGGCGCAGTAGCAAAATTGGAGGAGAACTGCAAAAGGGCCCTCAGTCCCGAGGTAAACGCTGGGGATCAAGTCGTGGTCTTTCCAGGAAAAATATCAGGAAAAAAACAGGACCATGAAATAATCGCCATGTCAATTTGACCCGTATTCCGTTTTTGCCACTCAGACATGCGTAGGCCAACTGAGAAAGGACCCCAACTTCAATGGTTTTTCGTGCTCAGAAGAATGTGTGAAAAACCCTGAAAATTGCAGTCGTTGTAGATTTTGTTGTGATCTTTTCAGGAAAAATATTAAGTAATTTTTTTTTTAAATCATTCCAACTGCCAAATAGATTGCGGCTGCAACTTGACCCATGTTCCAATTTTGTCATTCAGCCCCTCTCTCTCTCTCTCTCTCTCTCTCTCTCTCTCTCTCTCTCTCTCTCTCTCTCTCTCTCTCTCTCNCACACACACACACACACACACACACACACACACACACACACACACACACACTTAGTCTCATTGTTTTGGCTACCTTAGGGTTACGTTCAACATACCCATGCGGCAGACAATATTCGCAGCCCTTAGGCTGCGGTATAGTGGGCTTCCACGTCTGTGTCAAGGTGTCGCATTTTTGGCGGCGGGCGACCAGGAGCAAAGTGGGTTCTTAAGGGGCAAAAAAATTTGGGGGACCGGTCCTTGCCAAAATTGCGGACTACCTACAGCTAGCGCTGGTAGAACCGGGACTTTTGGAAAAACGAAGGACCGGTCCTCGGGTGGAAGTGGACCCCAAAAAGAAGTGGGGGGCATTGAACTGGTCCTCGGGTAGAAGCGAACCCCAAAAAGACGTGAGGGCATGTGAACTGCAAAAGGGCCCTCAGGCCCAGGCGTTGAGCCCCATCTTCTCAAAACAGGGAGGCCAGGCACAACGAAACAGGCGTTTTGCAAGAGGCAACTTTGGCGATTTTCTGTGCTCAGACGAACATGCACAAAAATCTGAAATTTTAAGAATCCATAGATGAGGTCGTGCTCTTTCCAGAAATAATAATAGAACATTTACAAAAAATCATTTAGACTGCGAAATAATCATCGCGCCGATTCAGCACATTTTTCACAGCCTATAGTGGGCTTCGGCGTCTGTGTCAAGGTGTCGCATTTTTGGCGGCGCGCGACCAGGACGCAAAGTGGGTTCTTAGGGGGCAAAACATTTTGGGGGACCGGTCCTTGCCAAAATTGCGGACTACCTACAGCTAGCTCTAGTAGAACCGGGACTTTTGGAAAAACAAAGGACCGGTCCTCGAGTAGAAGTGGACCCCAAAAAGAAGTGGGGGCCATTGGACCGGTCCTCAGGTAGAAGCGGACCCCAAAAAGAAGTGAGATTGGACCGGTCCTCGGGTAGAAGCGGACCCCAAAAAGAAGTGAGGGCATGTGAACTGCAAAAGGCCCCTCAGGCCCAGGCGTTGAGCCCCGTTTTCTCAAAACAGGGAGGTCAGGCACAACGAAACAGGCGTTTTGCAAGAGGCAACTTTTACGATTTTCTGTGCTCAGACGAACATGCAAAAAAATCTGAAATTTTGAGAATCCATAGATGAGGTTGTGTTCTTTTCAAAAATAATAATAGAAAATTTACAAAAAATCATTTAGACTGCGAAATAATCGTCGCGCTAATTCAACATATTTTCCATTTTTGCCACTCAGCCATGCTTGGGCCAACTAAAAAAGTACTCCAAATTCAGTGAGTTTTCACGCTCAAAAGAATGCGTAAAAAAACCTGAAAATTGGAATACTCGTAGATTTTGTTTCGATCTTTCCAGGAAAAACGCTACATAAATTTTAAAAAATCATTCCAACTGCGGTCTACTGGGTTCGGCGTCTGTGTCAAGGTGTCGCATTTATGGCGGCGGGCGACCAGGACCCAAAGTGGGTTCTTAGGGGGCAAAAAAAATTGAAAAACCGGTCCTTGCCAAAATTGCGGACTACCAACAACTAACTCTGGTAGAATCCGGACTTTTGAAAAAACGAAGGACCGGTCCTCAGGTGGAATTGGACCCCAAAAAGAAGTGGGGATGGGGTAAGGGCCCTCAGACCCAGGCGTTGAGGCCCGTTTTTTCAAAACAGGGACGTCAGGCGCAACGAAACAGACGTTTTGCAAGAGGCACCTTTTACGATTTTTTGTGCTCGGAGGAACCCACAGAAAAATCTGAAATTTTAAGAATTCGTATATGAGGTCGTGTTCTTTCTAGGAAAAATATTAGAACATTTAAAAAAACACATTTAGACCGAATAATAATTGTCGCGCCGATTCGGCACATTTTCCATTTTTGCCACTCAACCATGTGTGGGCCAACTTAAAAAGTACTCCAAATTCAGTGAGTTTTCACTCTCAGAAGAATGCGTGAAAATACCTGAAATTGGAGTACTCATAGATTTTGTTGTGATTTTTCCAGGAAAACGCTAAATAAATTTTAAAAAATCATTCCAACTGCGAAATAGATCGCGGCCGCAATTTG